ACAGAACCTGAAGCAGGCTCCAGGCTCCAAGTTGTCAGCACAGAGCCGGACACGGGACTTGAACCCACAAACCATGAGATCATGACCTCAGCCGAAGTCGGACGCCCAACCGACTGAGCCACCCAGGCACCCCCGTGCTCCTCAAACTTTTACATGCACAAGGATCACACAAGCAGGCCCTGCAAACTGCTGAATGGTGTCAGCATCACCTGGACGCTTGTAGGAAATGCAGGGTCCCGGGCCCCGCCCCAGCCCTATGATTCAAAATCTGCACTTAGGCAGGACTTCCAGATGAATCATGAGCACAGTAAAGTCAGAAGTGCCGGCCTGGGGGCCCCTGGGTGGCTCAGTCGGTTAAGTGTCTGACTCTTGATTTCGGCTCAGGTCACTATCTCACGGTTCGTGGGTTCGAGCCCCGCGTCGGCCCTGCACAGACAGCGCGGAACCTGTTTGGGGATCTTCTCTCTCCCTCTCTCTCTGCCCCTCGCCTGCTCGCACTCAGGTACATGCTCTCTCCCTCAAAAAAATAAATTTTTTAAAAAAATTTTAAAAAGAAGTGCTGATCTAGGGCATCCCTGTGGTATATTCAGAAAAGGACCAGGCTGGGGGGGGAAGAGCCTAAAGCTCCAGACCCAAATGTGCTCCTTCCCTGAACACCTTGGACTGGCCGCGTTTGCTCCCCTGGTTTCTTTACCGACAACGCGGTGGCAAGCGGGGGAGCTGATGAGACCAGAGATAGCAAAGAAGCTGCATTTCTCATTCTAGCTGCTCAATCGGTAGTAGCCACCAAGACCCATATGTTAAAAAGACTACCCGTCAGCTCAGTCCTGAACGTGAGCCATGGCCGATCGGCAGCGTCTCTCTCCAAGGCGCGGATGGAGAGGCAGCCCGTGTAGCCTGTACGTCTTTCTCATTCCTGGTCTGGTTGTTTTCTGAGGTCTCTTGCTCACTAAGTACTCTTGAGTGCCAAGTGCTGTGCCAGAATTGGAGGTGGAGAGGTGAACAAGACATCATCCTTACCCTCAAGAAGCCATTTAGCATGAGGAAGACCAAAACATAATAAGCAGGAGGTTACGGTATGTCACAATAATTGCTATGAAAGAGATAGCCCCGGGGCATTACAGCAGCAAACTGGAGGGAATGTAATCCAGTTTTTCTGCAGTCGAGGACTTCTAGGTAGGAGCAACAACGAAGCTGAAACCTGCAGAGTAACTTTGAAAGACCCAGGAGAAGCTGGAAGGGAGTTCTAAACAGAGGGAATGGCATAGTCAAAGGCTCAGAGGCAGGGAAGAGCACAAGCAGAGTCCAGGGAAACTTTCCTCACAAGCAAGGAGGAGAACGCCAGGCTGGAGGTGGTAACAGGTGAGTGGCAAGGTAGCACCCAGACGAGGCTAGGAGTTTAAGTCCTTAAATCTACTGAAGGGTTTTAAGTAGGCTGGGTGACCTGAGGAGTTCTGCAGGTTGGAAAAATTATTCAGTCACTGATGGATAATGGACTGAAGCAAAAGGAAGACAGAGGACCAGGAGGGTCACTGCCCCTCGAAGTGTGGCCTGGGGGCCGAGGTCCATGAACCATTTGCTACTCATTCTTGAGATAAGAAATTTGCACCAGAAAGTAAATTGACCTTAACACGAAGCACACTGTTTAGTTCAGTTGATGGGGCATTTTTCCTTTTTTTTTTTTTTAACATTTATTTTTGGGAGACAGAAAGAGACAGAGCACAAGCAGGGGAGGGGCAGAGAGAGAGGGAGACCCAGAATCCGAAGCAGGCTCCAGGCTCCCAGCTGTCAGCACAGAGCCCGATGCGGGCCTCGAACCCACGAACAGCGAGATCATGACCTGAGCCAAAGTCAGACACTTAACCAACTGAGCCACCCAGGTGCCCTTCAGTTGATGTTTTTTATAGCAAGACTTGTCAGATGATTTAAACTCCAGCCAGCCCCTTATCTTTGAGCAGCACTGGGTCCAGTGGCTGTGGCAATCCAGGTGGGAGACCTAGTTCAACAAAGAGTGGTCACAGTGGAGATGGAAAGAAGTCGACACACCTAAGGGAGATTCACAAGGCAAAACTGACAGGTCTTGATGACTGATTGGACTGGGGGAGAAAGGAGAAAGAAAGATGATGCCCAGGTCCCTGTTTCAGCAACTGAGTGAATGTCCTACTGATATCAGGCAAGGGTCCCTTCCTGCTCTTACATTCTGTGACCCAGCGACACTACTCAGTGACCAATCAATGTCCTGGAAATTCTCTTTAAACCTTAAAGTACTACAAAAGAGCAGAAACAAGACCACCCTCGGGGTGCCTGGGTGGCTTAGTCAATTGAGCGTCGGACTTTGGCTCAGGTCGTGATCTCGTGGTTCGTGAGTTCGAGCCCCGCGTCGGGCTCTGTGCTGACAGCTCAAAGCCTGGAGCCTGCTTCGGATTCTGTGTCTCCCTCTCTCTCTGGCCCTCCCTAGCTCATGCCTGCTCTTTCTCACTCTCGCTCTCAAAAATAAATAAACACCAAAAAAAAGAGTAAGATCACCCTCTATCTGACACCAGCGGGAAAGGACACTGACGATTTCCCCACGCCGCACACCTGAAAACAGGCTGAGCATGCCTAAGAGGCTGCCTGTGTCCGTCCACCCATGACGGGGCCAGGCTGACAATCCACCCAAAGTTCCCACCCCTGGATCAACTAGTCTTGAGAAGAGGCTTAAGCTTTTGTGATCAGCATCGTGAAATCTTTCCTCCCGGAAAAAGCTCATCCTAAGGAAGCCAGGGCTGAGGCCAATCCTAGGGAAAGAAACAGGATCCTCAGCGCTGCCCGCCACCGTGGCCTCCAGTGACCCCATTGCCTTTCATACCGACCACCATGATGTTGAAGTCGAAACCAGTCTTCATGGTCTTCTTGCGCATCTGCTCGATGATGGTGTCGATGCCAATGTAGCCCAGCAGGTTTGAGTTGATGCTAACAGGTTTCATGGGCACTGCCGGCTTAGGCCTGGGCTCAGGCACCAGCTCTGACATGGCTGCGTCCGTCCTGGCCTCCGGGAGCCCTGCAGAGCCAAGGTGGGAGAAGTGGGCTGGAGGCAAACAGAAGTCGCACAGAAGCTACGGTATTGTTCTGTTGATACAGAATTACAAAGAGTTGGGACTGGAAGGGACCTCAGGTGTCACCCAGTATGGGCACCTCATTTCACGGAGAGACCGAGGCCCAGGAGGAAAGGCCTTCCCTAAGACACAGAGCAAGTCAGATGCCAGATTGGGATCAGTACCCAGCCTCTCCAGCCGCTGGGGCACTTTCTTGTGCACTCGCTGCTCCGAAGCATGTCTGTGTGTCCAGTCCCAGGCTTCTCCACCTTGGTCCTGTTGACATTTGGGGCTGGATAATTATTGCAGGGGGCTGTTCCGTGCACTGTAGGGTGGCATCCCTGATGTCAGGTGTGACAACCAAAAATATCCCTAGACAGTGCCAAATGTCTCCCGGGGGGAGCATAACCCTAGTGGCGAACCACCAGTCTAAAAGATATTTGGGGTTATTCTGACCTGACTCATGTCTCCTCAGATAAAATGCTAAGACCTTTTAGGATACTGAACCTAACATCTATTAACTGTCCCTGACCTCAGTTGCTCTGTCTTTTAGAAGCAAATAGGGTTACCCCCTCACACCGCAGGAGTACCACCCCTGCCCCCAGCTTCCGTGTCCCCTCTGTTCCATGAGCACCACCACAAAGTAGGGGTGTCTGTGCCCTGAGGGGTCCCAGACATCATCCTAGCCATAGTTTTAAATCTGTGGAAGGAATAAGTCTCCCCTTTCAACCAGTGGGAAGAGGATGAGACGCAGCCAGATTGGAGCAGTCACTTGCCTAAGATGACGTAGTGTGTTCATGGGATGGTGGGTAGCAAAGGAATGATGGGTAGCAAAGGAATGATGGGTAGCAAAGAAAGAGGAGGCCGAGGACACAGCCCTTCTCTAGGAGGGAAAGGCCAACATCCCTCTGGGTCTGGCAGATCACAGGTATGTTTACACACAAGAGAAATCTGTGTGTTTCCTTGCAGGACCAATGTCTACCAGGGTAGGCTTCAGTATCGAGCAACTCCATTTTCCCATCCATAAAATGGGTACGTGTGGTACAGCGGAACGAGCCTGGCCCTGCTACTTGCCAGACGTGTGGACTTGGGCAAATCATCCCCCCCTCCCCCTCCCCCTCCCCCTCCCCCCGTGAGCCTGCTTCCCCATCTGGAAACTGGACAGGATCATGATTAAGGCTGTGGTGAGCATTGCATGAGCCATGATGCCTAGAAGCCCCCAGCACAGTGCCTCACACTCACTCCCGGACCCTCTTGCTCCTGCCCCTTTCAAGTTCACCAGCTTGTCAGCAGGGCAAAATGAAGTGGGGCGTGTGAAAGCAATGCTAATTACACAGCATAGTTATTGGACTCCACGCTCCCTTAAGGACCTCTTCCAGCTTTGCCCTTCTGGAATCCTGTGGTTCCTGCAGATTTCTCAGGCTCACAGGGAGAACCGACGGAGCAGCAGATGGGCAAGAGGGGGGTGGGGGGACAGGAGTGCCTCCCTCCCCCACCCCCAGACTCAGCCAGGAGTCTGTTCTCGTACCCCCACCACCTGGCCCTTCCACCAGCCCTGGCAAGACTCTCTCTCCCAATGGGAAACTGTTCTTTCCTTGTCACTCCCGGGCGCAGCCAAATCTGACAAAGCCTGGGGACCTCCCCAGGGCCTGGCGTGGCTCCCTCCTACCTCCTAGGAAGCTGTTGCCAGCCAGGCGGCTCCAGGCAGCAGCAAGATTGGTTCAGCCCTGCAGCAGCTGACTCTCACAGCCTGGCCTGCTCCTCCACTCGCTGCACGTGGCTCCCAGGCCCCACTCTGCACACCTGCACTGGAGGCCATGCCCCACTTTCCCTGCCCAGCTGCTCCCACGGCTGGCCCAGGCCCCTTCCCTCATGCCTCTACAGCTAAGCCCATTCGGTCTCACAACCTATGTTGTGAGACAGATCCATCTGGGGGCGGCTGGGGGTGCGGGTGGGTCTTACCCTGTTCTACCAACTTGGAAAGTGAGTCTTGTATTTCTTCAAGGGGGATTTTGTTAGTATCCTTGTAAAGTGCGTGCCCTTAACTATGGCCTGCTCTGCTCTGGCCCGTCCATGGCAGCATCCTAAAAGAGCATTCCCAAAAGACAGACCCTGGTGGCAAGAAGGGGCTGCCTACCAGATTCCCAGGCAACTTCCAGGACCACCAAGCACCTACTAGCCCCCGTGGGCACACCGTATAGAGCACCTGATGGCATGTTACCTCCCTCAAGCACATGCCAATCACATGCCAGCCACATGCTAACAACAACGCATCTGCCACGAGTACTGCAAACGTGTGGCGGGTCACTATGTCACGACCTTTGCTGGACGACCCTTCCCCACCCCGGCCTGTGGCTGACTCCTACTCCTTCTTCACCATTGTGCTCAAGGGCTACCTCTGGGACACCCTCTGCTTTCCTCCCTGAAATGGGCGCCCCTGTTCAGTGCTTCCTTGTCCCCCCTGAACACCCTGTATTCATCACGTTCATTCTTTCCCTCCATCCCTTCCAGGACATTTCATATGCTGCCAAATGGGAGCCTACTCCAGCCAACCCGAGACTTAATACCAAAGAGAATTTTGGACCCCAAACAAGGACCTTGCCCCTGAGGGTCCATCGTCTGCTGAGGGTGCCCGACAGCTCCCAGGAACAGGACAAACACTGCTCTGGAGTTGAATTCTATAGCTCCATCCTCTGCGTGGACAGCTCCCTTGGTCCCACCATGCCAACCCCAGATGGGCAGCTGGCCCAGGCTTGACTCCCACCTGGATGACCCCTGTGAGCTCAGTTGTCTCTTCAGGAAAATGGGCATAGTACCTACCTTGCTGGGTTGCTGTGAACGTTATGCAAAAGCACGGACATAAATTACCTGGCACCGAACATAGGTTAGTTCCCACCCTTCTTCAGGGAAGAGGCCATGTCCCATTGATCTCTGTGCCTCATTGAAACTAGCATAACACAGGCACTCAGCAATGAATGAATGAATGATTGAATGAATGCCTCACAGGGAGACACCTGTCATTTCAGAACCATCACCTTTCTTCTCCCTCACATGCTGTTCCCTTTGAAGAGCAGCTGACCCCCCAGCCAGCAAATGGCTCCTGTGTCGGCCACAGTCAAAGGGGTAGACTCTGTTAAGAGAGACCCTCTCCCTCCCCTGCAACAAGGATGCGGGGAGGGGTTCCCCAAAGGTGGGAAGAGCTCAGGATGAAGGTGGCGGGATATAGTTCAACTGCCATCCTGCCTAGATGGTCCCTGGGTTCCTCCTAAGCTCCCAGCTCTCCCGGGGTTTCTGGAGAGGAAGAGGAGCTCTCAGCGCCCCCCACCCTCCGACCCCCCTCCAGGAGCCACCTGCCCCATCAGTGCTCTGGGAGAGGCATTGTCGACCTGACTCAGCTTTGAGTCCCCCACAGAAACAGCACCCCCCTCCCCAATGCCAAGCAAGGACCCTGGCGCTTTCTTTTACAGACAAACAAATGGCTTTGTCTTTGTCTGGCCCAGGGACCCCACCCCTCTGTTGGGAAGGTGGCAGCAGGGGGAGGGGATCTTTCCAGAACAGCACCTGCCTGGGGGGCGAGGGGGTTGAAGGGTCTCTCCCTCCCTTCCTGAACTGGAATCTTCCCCTGTTCCCAGCCCTAGCAGCCTTCAAGACCCCACCCGCACTGGCAGAGGCAATTCCAGACCGCCCCAGCTCCAGCCCCGCTCCCAGAAAACGAATCACAGAAGATATCTTAGTCCTTTCCCATTCACAGTTGCAAAGGGCCCTGGGACACCCCCTTCCCCCATTCCCAGGCCTCTGGAGCCCAATGAGTTCCCTTGGAGACCACCAGCTGTCTCGGTGCCTCTGCCTGTGTCCGTGTGCGCCTGTGTGTGGGGGAAGGGTCTCTGTGTCAGAGTACAGGTCTGCCATCTGGCTGTAGGTGGCCCTGATAACCTGTGCGTGGTGTGCGTGTCTTGGTGTGCTCCAGCGTGGGGCTTTCTGTGTGCATCTGGGTCCCCGCTTGTGTGTCCGTGGATCTCTGCATCTCCCCGCGATCCCGTGTGTGCATTTCCTCGGGCACGTATATCTCGGGGTGTGTGCCACCGTGTGTGCGTGTGTCCGTGCATATGTCACCGTGCGTGGGCTCCTCGGCGCATCAACCCTCCCTCTGGCAGCACCTCCAGCCGGGCTTTCCGGGGCCGCAGCCTCCTCCCAGCGGGCGCCGGTGGCCCGGCCGGCCGCCCTACCTTTGGACATGAATCCTCCTTTGTCTCTGTTCCTCCCGGGAGATGCTCAGGGCGCGGGGCTGCAAGGCTGAGCGGGGCGCGGGCTCCTCCTGGGCAGAGCGGCCCCCGCAGCCGGGCCTCGCCCCTCCG